TGCCAGTCCAGTGCCAAAGCTGTCATCCAAGCCTGCTGAACTTCTATGCCATTTAAATGATAAGACTGTCTCAAACCTTCCATGTCTGCCACAAACCTGGCAACATCCTCTTTTACTGGAGTCACACCTGCAACTGCCTTTTTAATGTCATCTGTTGTCCAAGTTCTAAAAACCAACATTGTCCTATCGTTATCTCCTGTAGCATTTGGGTTAGGGACCTCAATCATAGGAAAAGTGTCAGTGAAGCCAGGTGTTGATACCGTAGTTTCAGTCAAAACATGTCCAACTCCACCGTGTACAGTTTTGTCCCACTGAAGCAACCTTCCTGCCTCGTTATCTAGTCGCCTAGTCCTGTAAGGTGGGTCTGTGGCAGCCAACTGATAATCAGGAGGGGGTCCTGCAGCAAGGGGAGTAAGATCTGGGTATAGGGAGTCTGATGCTGCTGCTGCTTGTTTCTGCTCTGTCTGAGCTGTGCGTGGCTTCCTGTCAGAGTCTATTTCTGTAGCTGACTGAGAAGGAGGAAGTGCTGCGGCTCCCTGTCCCWCATGCTGCCTGTGAACTGCACGAGAAACAACAGATTCGTCATCGTCCTCTTTTCTAGAAAACATTACAGTCTTTTGTCTGMCAGCTGTGCCTTTCTCTCTCTTTAGGGCGATGTCCATCCAAAAGTCAACGTCATCAAAACCAAGTTTAGTCATAAGCTTACTGTCCTGTTTTGCTGCAGTTCTAATGTTGTCCTTTAACTCTGTCAGTTTCTGGCTGTTAAGCTGACCTTTAAAGTAAAATRTGCTTATCCACGTGTCTAAATGTCGCACCTTAGTTTTGTCTAAATTTTCAACGTATTTCCAGTCTTTACAGGTAAGCTCATCTGTAGGTTGTTTTTTACTGTTAGTTTTACCCATTTTGAAGCAATTTAGAACCAGTTGTTTCGCCTAGGGCTTCTAAAAACTGGTTTGTTTTTCTTTCAGTGAGACAGTGATTAATATATATCTCTTGTGGTAACACCTGTTCAGCCGTGTGGTGATAGGCCAGGTGTTCGTGCCTATAAGCATCCACAAGAGACTCACTGTTTCCGATCTCACTGCTTAGGTATGAAAGCTGGTACCTAGTGGTAGAACAGCTTTCCACACGCACTCACAAGCATACACGGCGCCTCTTTTATTATTATTATTACGTACCCTTTACGTATTTAAACGCGTACCTGATAAACGCACTTAATTTGACCAGGAACGATTTAAAGTGCCTACAACACGGGACCGCCCATGCCCCTTAATTTAAACAAAGCCACTTCCAGTAGGATTTTTGCCAAGATACACCAGGTTTCCCGCCTGTCAGAGTCTAGAATACCACAGGTCTTATATTTTAACCACTACGCATGCTTTTTTACTATTTTTATGCAGTTCTACGCGGCAACTGCCACACATTCAGTCCATTTTAAAGAAAAGTTAACTCACTGTCTCAGTTGCCCCGTCTCGGCTCTTCCGTCACTCGCCTGGATCCAGCCGGAGCGAAGGAAACACGGCCCCTTCAACAGGTATCTTTGCTGTGGCCACAGACTCCAACCGAGGTCCTCGACTCCTACTGGATTCAGGAAAGGTATTGGATTCCGAATGCTCGAAGGACCAAAAATGATAGGTGTTTTACCTAATCATATGCAAAACAGAGGAGCAAAATGAGACAATTTGAACCAGGTTCAGAATCAAGGTGAGGAGAACGCTGGACAGGAAGTCGCTCGTACACCCAAGTCCACCGCTCTGAGGGACTTCCTGTAGTTCAGCCTCTTTTATTCAGTTTTCACATCCCTAGTTACATGGGTCATGAGACTGCCTAAGGGAGGGGGGGAAAACGCAGATCTCATGACAAAACATTATTTTATTCACAGACAATTAATAAATGATGCGAGCTAAACACTTTCGCTTCCGCTGTCCCCGGAGCAGATGGATGCTGCGGGAAATACAAGCATCAGTTCAGAGTTCAGCTTCCTCTCCGATTACTGCAACCCAGCAAATCTGCTCACATGGAAATACGTGACATTATCAAAACACCAAAACTAAGCAATAATTAACCTTTAAAAAGTGGAAGTTGACCTAAGCTCACACTTAGCAAAGTATTTTGGATGATAAATCAACCACCATCTAAACTTTGTTCTAACACTTAAGAACTACAATTTAATGATTAATTAATCATTATCAGCTTTCACACACGGGGGAATGTCTGTCAGAGTTTTTTGATTTATTTCTAATTTTTGTCTTTTCTTTCTGTGTTGTGAGTTTTTTCTTACAGGGACAATGCTATTTCTCATGGGGAGGGAGGTGATGCTTCCACTTCCTCCTGGACCGGCGAGGGGCTGCAGGTGCCACCTCGTGCATGCCATTTCCACCTGGCG